TGAATAAATTCAGTCCTGCCAGTCGTACAAAGATAATTGGAGGAAGACAACAGCATCGCGATAATAATTATTATATTTTATATTATTACTTTACATTATTATTATATATTACACAAATTATCTCGCGCGAAACGACGGCGTTTCTAGAAAGCGGAAGGAGGCTCCTTTTGTAATTAGTTCTCGGTGCAGCAGTCGGCTTCGCGATCTGCTTGCCAATGTAACCCTTTATCGGATCGAACAACCTCTTACGATTTAATGTCGCGGCTCCGCCTTCCAATATCCGCTGTAATATATCCGCCGGGTACCATTTTCGACGGCGAGATTTGTCGCTGGGAAAAAGCCAATATGGAAGAATTATCGGCGCCCTCTCCTGTGGCCTCCGGGTCACATGTCACTCGTAAGCACTTTCCGTTCCCATCAATTGCCGACGAGAAATCAGCTATTTCTAATTACCTTTAACGCCCCGCCACGTGATTCTATCCACGCTTCTTTCTGTATGTTTCCACGTTCGACGGTTTATCACGCTCTTTTCTGCCGCGTGTCAATGGGATGCGAAAAACATTCCTGCGGATTTATTACTTTCCAATCGCGCGTTCCGTCTCTGCACTTTTTAGCTCGCTCTCGAAAATTTACTCTGTCCGTCCGGAGACAGCTTTCGGTCGCATTTTTAATCGTCGGACAACGGACCGTTTCGACAAGCATATTTTAATACTAACTTTGACCTTTTAATATTATTATTTAATTATTTTAATATTGACCTTTCAACGTTGACCTTTAATAATTAAATAACTTTGGCGACGTGATCGATTATTAGACTGCGGATTTTATGGATTTGTTACTAAATTGGGCGATGTTGCAATTTAAAATAGGAAAGAGAATAAAAGAATTTCGAATTGGAGTTAACTTACTGTTTAAATTTCCTGCAACCAATGCGGACGATTTTTATTTTGCATAAAAATCCGCGGTCCAACGGTCAGTCTCAATTTTATCTATCAATAGTTCTTTTTTGCCAAAAGTGGTTGAAATGCAAAGCAGCGAAGACGTTAGAAGAATTTAGGATTATTGTTACATTATCGTCGATGAATTGAAACTAGAAGAAATGCATTTTTACTTGAAGTCTGCTTTTTACGATTAATGCAGATTAAAATCAACTTAATTAATTTTACAATTATTTCGCACAAATTTAATCGCTAAAAATATAGTACTATATTATCTCCTGCCATCAGACGTTCCGTAACATCGTCAAAATGTCAGAATCCTGTTACTGTAATCTGTTAACACTTTATCGCCAATTGGCACTCGTTCAACGACGTCCGGCAAGAAGAAAGCATCCGCGGCCAGACTGTTAGCATTGCCAACAAAGAAATTAAGCATTCGGCGTTCCTTCAAGCTTACAAATCGACGAAATTTTTACCAGCAGACAGCGAATCATAATCGCTCGATCCGCCCCGAAATTCTCGGCACGCATGAAACGCTGGTCGAACGCCGCGCGAAAATACCGGGCAGCCGCTAACGAGCCTCGCGAGCACGGCGAAACCCGGCGGGCGGGACGTTCAATTAACAAATTCCATTAATCCGACGTCGAAATATTCGATAAACAAGAAAAAGTGAAATGTAAACGATAGCGGCGCGCGGCTGCGGCTGCGTCGGCGTCGGCGTCGGCGTCGGCGGCCCAGACTTTTCACGATCCGCTGCGTTCAATTCTCGCGGCGCGAGGGGCGGATTGTAATCTCGGCTACCTCGATACACCCCCCTGATAATATATCCGTGGGGGTGACCGTGTGCCGCCTAGTCGCGATACGTTATTGGAAGAACGCCAATACTCGATGATTTACCATGAAATCCGCTAGTTATTGCGTGGGAAACGCGGTCTCATTATTTATACGTTATATCGCGGCCCGGTACTTTTCCGGCGAGAGGGCCCGGGAAATAAAGTGCTGTCTGCGGCTCGATGAAATAACCGATTTTCGCAGGCCGCTGCCGCCGCGTCGGGCGGCGCGACGAAACAGAGGAAAAGGGACGGAAAAGGGCGAGGAACCGAGCCGACGCGACGCGACGGAACGCGACGCGTCGCATTGAGAAATCGATGTCGAACAACCCCGCCGAATTATTGCCGGATGTTTGGCAACCGAGTCGACTTACAGGCCCGGTGTCTCTTGCTCTGGTCGACGTCGGAAACGCGGATTTTCTCGAGCAGCTTCCGCGATCGCGACGGCAACGACTACGACGACGACGACGACGTTCGTTCGATTAGCACTCGAATTCGGATCTCGAGGATCCCGTTTCGGGGGTGGGATTCGGCTCGGGTTCGAGCCACGGCCTCGAAGGGGTGCCGAGGGCTGCTTTAGGGTGCGGATAACTGCGCCGGAAAACGCGTAACAACTTCGATAAAGGGACACTTGCCGCTTCTTCGAAACCACTGTCGGCGTTTGGCATTCATCGAGTGCTGACGTTTCGAGCACGTTATTTTCGGATTATATTATTATTATATGGATTATATTATTCGTGTTTTACTTGTTCATTCGTTTTGTTTATTTACAGTTCATTTGGCTAGCTATTTATTTATAATTAATTTCGCTGTCACGTTTCTTATGCGAAGCAATTGTGTCATACGGCCTTCGATCAACTGTCACTCGAAAACTAGTGATACTATGGAGATTAAAAAATTTGAGAATACAATTTGGACATTGTAGAGCATCGTTTTCTTTATTAGAACTCGATATCTCGCATCCAAGTACATGTATCTCGATAATTGCTAATTTAATACTTCTCCGGAAAAAAGGTATTTCATCAAAGAATGGCCATTTCAATTTGGTAAATGAATCACTTGCTGGTATTAATTATTACCATTACTGTACCTGCAGGTACACTGTGTGTACAACACGTAGGTATTTGTGAAACGAATGAGAAGATGAACTGCGAAACGGAAAAACAATTCGAAAAACATAAAAACGCCGCGCATTGTTTCCAGCTCATTAAAGTAATTCAGACATGAAACAACAAATAACGCACGCAGCTCCGGTATTTTTTCGACAGAATTGCGGCCAAATGAACAATCACATTGACAGGCATCCGGTTACGTGACCAGGAATAAATTTGTAAATCACCGTAGTAAAATGATACAAACGAGCTAAATACATACAGCGAACGCGGGGACAACGGGCTCGTTCGCGCCGTTTAATGCGTTTTTAATTTCGCGATTCGCGCGTGCCGCGGCATACGAGAGATCGCGTAAAATTCCGCGCCGAAAGTTTCGCCGTCGCGCGCTGCGTTGTTTTGCTCGCGATTATTTTCAAACGGCAGTCGTTGTTAATAAAAGTCGAACACGAGCCGGACGCCGACACCGAAGCGGCGAGAAATTGATTGGGTCTACGCGTTCCATTATGCACGATCGGCGAATAGAAATATTTCCGCGTTGTATCGGCGTACCCCCGCGGGACTCGTGTTCCGCGGATTTTTCCATACTAACAATTTCGAGTGTTTCCGCTATGTATAAGCTTACCGGGCTTTAATTAAATTGAAGCGTATCGCGCAAACATCGCGGCCGATGCTGCGAAATTAAAAGAGCGATTGATACGCGCCGACGGAATTCGAGATGAACCGCGCCGAAAGCCACGGTTCCACCGGATCACCGGGATACCGTAAACGTGGTGGCAGGCGGATGCAATATTTTCATCGAATAACAGCAAGCTGCGATTCGTCGGAGGCGTTTCTTTCGCGATCCGAGCTCCGCGCGCGGTGCTCGCAAACGCTTGAAGCGTTTGAAAATTTCAAAAATATTGCATTACGGAGTGGCAGAAATTTAAGTTTTATCAATTATCCATTTGTCAATTATTCAATTAGTCATTTATCAATCATTCAATTAGTCATTTATCAATCATTCAATTATTCATTTACTCATTTATCAATCCTTCATTTACTCATTTATCAATTGTTCAATTATTCATTTATCAATTACTCAATTAGTCACTTATCAATTCTTCAATTATTTATTTATCAATCACTTATATATCAATTATTCATTTATCAATTATTTATCAATTATTAACTACAACATGTTTAGAAGATGTTCTAATTGAAAGTAAAATATTGTTGGAAAGACGTTTGATTTAGGCAATTTTCACTAGGTGAATAGGTTATTAATAGACTGTGGATCTTTTATCTAAGAAATAACCTATTTAGAAATTGTCTCCACCCTTTAATAATTTCAGTAGAGTCAACGTAATACTACGATACTCTTCAATAATTCTTTTAATTGTTTTACTATTTT